TTGTTCAAAAAATTGGTTAATAACGGAAACTAACTTAAAATTTTTAGTTAATTGGGAGTGTTAATATTAATTTTAAGGGCGAATATGAAAAAATAGAACTTAGAACCGATTTAAAGGGCAATCAATTTTAATTCTATTTGAAACGTTTCAAAAATATATTTAAAATGTTTTTGCTGTGAATTCCAGTGAATCCTGAAGTTGCCCTTTTAAATTTAAATTAGTATTAAGACTCTGATTTGTTCACACAAAACTTAAAAGGTATTGCATAAAATTCTCAAGTTGTACAAAAAAAATTCCATTATTCTGTTAAGGCACATCACAAGAAATAAAATTAAACATTTGTTTAACCCTATCCCTGATGGGGTCCTTGGAAAACATTATACGCTTGGGGGGGGGGCAATTTGTCCCCCCCCCTCTTAATCCCATGTTTGATGTCCAAATATGACAAATGATACATCATTGGAAAACTCTTGTGCTCAACATTTAGAATTTATTTATACATTTTTAAAAAGCCATTGACCATGCCATTTCAAATGTGCAAAAAGTTTTAAAGAATTTTCAAAAATTCAAAGAAAAATGTGCAAATTCATAACGGGTTACTAGCAAATAATTTGCAAACATTTCTTTGCTAAACTTTTGCAAACAGCTAAAAGTGGGTCAAAACAAAGACTTAGTTTGATACAGGAAAAAACAGGCATTCAGGCAGTGTGCCTGAGGACTCGGGCAGTTAATATAAAAGCCAGGTTTCAGGTCTAAATGTAGGGCTTTGGGTATTTAGAAAGTGTAAAAATTTCAACAGTCTCAGACCTATACTTATTGAGTTATGAAACAAATACACAGGGGGGGGGGGGAATTGCCCCCCCCCCCCCAGCAGGAGTATGGTTAAAAGAAAACCATTTCTATAACCCCAAAAATATTTTCTTCACTGTCCAATCTTGATTAAATTTTCATTTAATTGGTATTGAATTATTGTTAAGGTTTTAGCGGTTTGTTTTTAGGAAATATTGTATGTGAAATCTATGTTTATTTAAATCGAAATTCTCATTGTTTTTAAGCTGAATTTTTATACAAAATTAGATATTTGGGATTAATATTGTTTATTTTTTGGTTACATCTGATATATTTAAGGCTGAAAGGTCGTCTGGGTAACGGGGAAATTACCCTGGGGGAGTATTGGAACAAAATAACCAAGAATTTTTATTTCGAATAATATCCCAGGCAATTTAATGCTTACTTTTATTTTAACATTGTCTAACTGTGAGGGGTGAATATTCTTACTTTAATCTGTGGCCATGCAAGAAAAATAAAAAAATAAAAAAACTGAAAAAAGGCTGTGAAGCCTTGTGTTATCCTTAAATTAACAAAGAATACATCCCTGATAGATTAGCTGCAATAAAATGGTTTTTATTCTTTTTAAATTAAATTAAGGATCAAAGTAAAAGAAAAGATAAGTTAAAACCTGGGAAATTAGATGGAAACACTCACGTATAACGATATCAACCATATGTTTTTTTTTAAAGGGATTGTTCACCAATATTCATGCCATTTATTAATAATTACTTATCATTCATTTCTTGCAAATTTCGCCAGAGCATCTAGCAATTGTTTACACTTTACTGCTAATTAACACATTTGTTAAATGTTTGCAGCATATTTGAAGTGGGTTTGATGAGCGGGATAGGTAGGAGGCCATGAGCCACCACTATTTCCCCTTCCGTGTCACTTATCTAAATTTTTTGTCTTTAGCAACTGTGAACCACGACTATTTTCCCTTCCGGGCCATCAAATTTTAGTCTGGGCAAAACTAATTTTGTAAATGGTTTATTAGATTTTCAAAAATCCATCCGGGGTAAGCGAAAAAACGCAACTGAAACTATTTTTAAAATTCTATCTAAGATTAATATATTGTATAATATACCATTTGCCCGGAAGAGTAAAATGTGGTGGCACAGATCGGGAAATAGTGGTGGCTCATGGCCGCCTCCCTTCCCCAGCTCGTATAACAAAATTTAAAAACTNGAACAATAGTTCAAATGAACAATAGTTCAAATGAACAATAGTTCAAATGAACAATAGTTCAAATGAACAATAGTTCAAATGAACAATAGTTCAAACGGCAGTAGTTTTCGTACATAAGCTATCTATGTTTATTTATTTATCTATGATTATAACCTCTGAAATAAAAATGTACTCAACCGACTAAAAAAATATTGCTCATCCAACCTAAAAATATTGCTCATCCGACATAGAAATATTGCTCAACCGACCTAAAAATATTGCTCAACTGACCTTATAATATTGCTCAACCGACCTAAAAAAATTTCTCAACTGACAAAAATATTACTCATCTGACCTTAAAATATTGCTCATCCGACCTAAAAATATTGCTCATCCGACCTAAAAATATTGCTTAACTGGCCTAAAAATATTGCTCAACTGACCTAAAAAAAATTTCTCAACTGACCTAAAAATATTGCTCATCCGACCATAAAATATTGCTCATCCGACCTAAAAATATTGCTTAACCAACCTAAAAATATTGCTCATCCGACCTAAAAATGTTGCTCAACCGACCTAAAAAATATTGCTCAACCGACATGAAATGCTGAATGCTTATCAAAACTAAACTTGTTGCTTTAACCAACCTAAAATATATTCCCAACTGACCTAACATATATTAATAACCGACCTAAATATATTTCCAATCTAGTTCAGGACATTTCGCTAATCGAACCTAAAGATTTTTAGGTTGGAAAAACGTTAGGTCAGAAAAACGTTAGGTTCGTTTCCTCTAGGTTCAAAGAGCAGGTACCGATATTTGCATGTTAGTGGTCTGTTTAAAAGTACAAGCATTTCACAAAAATCCCTGCTGGTCAGATTTGCCTTATATTTTGATTCGGGGACTCCGTAGAATCATTTTAAATTTAAGTTTAAGCTGGGCTGGGGTTCTAAGCTAGTATAAAAAAAATAATAAATCTTTTTTGAGATCTAGATATTTATTATCTCCGTATCGAGATTATATTAATGGTACAAAATTGTTCACATATATTTAATACAACTATTTAACGATACTATTGTGTACATATATTCTTAAATTAAATAATAAAAAATCGTACGGGTACATTTTATCGTTTTTTCCTTTCATTAGAAATTTTGATTTAGGGATACTTGGATCCTGCAAAACATACAAATTGAATAGTGCAAAAATGAACGTGCATAGAATAAATTGCATATAGTTAGTCGATGAAGAAGATTTAAGAATCGTCTGCATATAATTTGAGCATTTAATGTTGAAAATCAGATTGAGCAAGCATTCTAAAGTTTTTATGTAACAATGGTATAATGGCAATGTATGCAATATGGAAGAAACTACGATTGTACTGACGAAGAACATTGAAAGTTCGACGTAAGTATGGCATTCCATTAGTTAAACTATGTCGTCTTGATGCTAATTAAAGGGAGACAATAATCAAGTTAGGACGGGAGCAGGGCATGCCAGTACTTGTTGACTTCCTATATCTAAGCAAAAACTTCAAGCTTGAAGTTATTTCGCGAAAACCCGCGTTGTGCTGTCTGAAGACAGGCACACATTTACCTCCGCCGCCTATAATGCAAGGAGTATAGGAGTCGCCCACAACGAGCGTCCCCACCAAGTTCGACGGGAAGGCTTCATGCTCGTTGGGGCAAATCCTACAGTTCCTCGCAATATCGAAGGTACACGTATAACTTGAGTTGCATGAAAAGTTCGCCAGGTTTATGGCATACCCCGATCTCCGGTCCCCGAAAAAGTTAGGAGCGGAGAGATTGACCTTCGGAGCAAGTTTTACAACCGCATTCCCACCGCCCTGAGTTTGCACAAGACCGGACCGAGGTGCAGCTAAAGGGGTGGGGGGTTTCGCGACGCGCGGGGGTACTTGCCAGGCTCTCTTTACCGTGTTGACAATATTCTTATTGAGGTACTCACTAATCCTTAGATAAGGTCCCGCGACGTAACGGGATAATAAATCAACATTGCAGTAAAAATTGTTATTTTCTAAAATTAATTATAATTAATAAAAGTTTTCAGTGTCACTAGTTCGTACTAGATAAAAATTGAATGTGAACTGTTCAGCAACTGAAAAATCTTCAAATTTCATTTCTGTAAATCCATGCAATTGCAAAATATAAGAAAAAAAATATATTACATCTTGATTCTTGACTTACGCTAGCCTAACTAAGAAATTCTAAAATGAGTTTTAAAAACTTGTATTGTTTGTTTAGGGGCCTAACTGTCACACAGCATATGAATTTCTGAGTGTGTGACATGTTAAATTTGGTTTAGTTAGTTCTGTTTTGTTAACATGTGAACATAAACATCAACTAATCAGTTTTATTCAAGACAATGCAGTGCGCAGTATTTAGTGTTAGTGTGCATTGTGCTAGTAAATCTGATTCCCTGAATGCACTTCTTTTAATTGTTACATAGGACAACTCAAAAATTTGATCAAGTGTAGTAAAGAAATTAAATATTTGCTACAAACTCTGATTAATATCTTTTCAGTCCAATTTCTAAGTTTGAAATATGAAAGATCTAAACCAACAGATGGCAAAGATATAACGATTCGAAAATTTTAGTTTGTGGCAAATACTCAATTCCTTTAAGTCGCAAAGTGATGGAAGTCTTGTCCTTTAATGAGTTATTTAAATTTACTTCCTCCACTCTTATGTCTGTAATTATGACTTTAACTGAGGTGTCTGTCATATTTCTAATAAATCAAATTTATTTTAGACAAAATCAATGTGACAATATTTTAGATGAAAAAATATGTTTCATAATTTCCACATTTTCATATTTATATCCGTGTTCACTTCAGGAAAAATTGTCATAATATTAGATTCGTTTAATTAGAAACAAGGTTATAATGCAAGGAAAGTTATTTCAGAGGTGTACGCATTTTTTGTACTGCAGTGTACTGTCTCTGGGGGGTAATGTAAACACAAGACGGATGTCGAAGCCTGACATGGGATCCATCTTAAAAAAAAATCAATGAAATATTCTGGTCATAGGAAACTATTATGTGAATTATCAAAAGGATCAAAAGTTAATCCGCCCTCAGAAAACTGGTTTTAATATGTTCGCAGAGTATACGCAACTGCAATTAACTTTCCTTGCGTTAGAACCTTGGTGTTAATATTCTTCATCTTAGCATTAATAAATTACTTTTTTTTCTTTATAAAATAACTAGCTTGCATTGTAACATTGGTTAGAAATAAAAAATTGCTCATTAAATATTTGGAGTATTGACAAACTTCAGGATCAACATATGTTCTTTCAGGGCAAAATAAGGTTACATTTTTTCTTTTCAAGATCATACAGGGTGTCCCACGAAACATAACAGTTGGTGAATAGTTTAAAATGTCTTCTTCGGTTTGATACTAAAGAGAATAATAAAAAATAGAATATGACAGTCGTATTACAGTAAATTTTAATTTAAAAAACTGCACACAAAGTCCTCAATATCTGATACAGTATATGGAAGAAGACATTTAAAACTTTTCAGCAACTGTCATGTTTCGCGGGACACCCTGTATATTCAAACATGAAGTTGTATGTACCTCATTACTTAAAATGGAAAGAAAGTCGTCTTTTTTTAGAAAACGTCACAAAATCCATAATAATATAAAGAACAATGACGACTACAGCTAACTGTTTACTGACACAACATTGTGTTCAGGGTGTCCCATCACAGTTGTTGAATAGTTTTGAATGTCTTCTTCCATATCTTATATCGGATATTAAAAACTTTTTGCATGTCATTTTGTTAAAAACATCTTTTTCTCAAATATATTTTACTTCTTTAATCAATTGTACAATAATATAATTACAATATTTTGCATTAATCTCTTTGATATCAAACAAATTAACTAATTATGGAAGAAGACATTTTAAACTATTTACCAACTGTCATGTTTCGCGGGACACCATGTATGTTATTAATTTTATTTTTATGTATCAAGTTATTTATTTGGCAGCGAAAAAAGAACTCAAATATCACTTTTGGCACAAATTCTTTTTTTCAATAAAAACTATTAGGGATAAATTTTGAAAGATTTTTTTTATTCTTAATAACCTCGTCAAAAAAGAATTTTAATTTGGGTATTTTTTAAATCGAGTTTTATAAAATAAAAAAATATTTTTAAAAAATTACAATTTTAGGTTTCTGCTTGTGAAGGATCAATGACAATAGAACAGGTATTATTTCTGGGTTTAATAAAAATCTACGAAAAGTGATTTATTTCAAAATTTAAATTTCTGCAGGTTTGATATTATTTTATTTTACAAATTAGTTACTCTATAAGCAAAAGATAAAGGTGCTTATTTGCATCTCTACATGAAACCGCTTGAGGGTCTGAATCTATGTTCAGCCTGTTTCTACATCCATTTTTCAAGGGCTTTTCAAAAATATAGTTTTTAGGTTTGAACTTTTTTTAGCTTTTTTTTGGTTTATGAATGGTCAGATTTACCTTTTTAAACTACTGAAAAACTTGAAGGAGAGAAAATGCTGCACAGTAGAGTAATCATTAAAAGATAAAAATCAAAGATGTGGGCGAAGCGCCCTGGAAGCTTAGTGCTTGTAAAAACATCTGTTTATTATGAAAAAGAAAAACATAAAATTTTTCCACAGAAATTCCCAGGCTCTGGGATTTCTAAAGCTGTCATATCTTTTTAACAACTTGAAACATCTGCAACAAACCAATTATATTTTCTCCTGAAAAATATTAATTGTCAAGGCCTAAAATTGAAAACTTTAAAAACTTTTAAATTTATCTTGTGGGCATTATACACACTTGTTTCCATTAAACATTAGTTTAAGCAAAATATGGTAAAGATATTATGTTTTTTTTTTCTCTGAAAATTGATAATTTTTTAATTGCAGTTTCTCAGTGAAAGTGACTTGCTGAAAAGACAATGAAGGAAGTTTAAGAATGCATACTTTTTTCAAGATGGAACGCTAGTCTCTCCAACAAACAGATTGGAAATATTTTTTTAAAAATTTTTATTTACTATTTATTGTTTAGGACAGCACTAAACACATCTTTCTCCCATGGACAAGAGTTAAACATGGGCTTAGTTTGAAACCAGAAACGGTAACTTTACGGGCATCAGATCAGAGTGTTCAAACAACAGACAATAGACAACAGACAACATACAGTGATAACCAGAAAACAATGGAATATGAAGACGAAATTATAGCAATACTTAAAGGGAGTGACCGGCTATGTAAGGTAGTTGAACTGAGTATGCAGTGTTGTGGAAAACTTCTTTCGGATTAATTTGAAACATATTAAACTTTTTAAAGATCTGTAAATCCTGAGTTTGAGCGCAAATTCGACGTTTAAAACTCCTACTTTGGGAGAATATGTGTTCAGAATTTGTTTTGTTTTAATTATTAAATAACGACAACGAAAAATAAAGTAAAAATTATACAGTAATATAATTAGATGGTTAGAAACATATTTCTCAAAAGAAATTTTACAATAAATCAATGCTAAAATCATAGATAAAGATAGATTGCGCATTAGACGACATTTTTCATCTTGAAAGATATAAATGTTTTAAAGATATTCCTATTATATAGATTAACTAGGTCGGTTGTGAACATTGGCTGTTCTTATGTCATTGAGTACTTGTGGTGTACATGAGTTCTGTAAAAAGTTTAAGTTAGTTTAGTCCTTCTCATGTACTTCTTCAGTTCTCGTCAATATGATATATTGCTCAGTGAAATAATTTGATATTCTCAAAAGAAAATTCACTCCTGACTCAGTAGGGTTGTAAATCGTTTTTGAAAGCGATCGTTAAACGATCGTTTTTGTTTCGTTTTTCAATCGTTTTCAAAAATGATAGTTTCGTTAACGATTGTTAACGAAGGGTTGTCGTTAACAATCGTTAACGAAACGAAGAAATTTATAAAAATGGCCGTATTTGGAAAAACAATTGTTTTTGAAAAAAATTACATGCAAAAATGTTGTGGGGGAGCTAAAACTTCTTGATATTTTCTTTAAAACTACTCAATGATAAGTACAGATACTCTTCAGGTCGGTTTCCTCTCTTTGTTAACGAATGGTCGTCGTTAACCATCGTTAACGAAGGGTTGTCGTTAACAATCATTGAAGAAGGTTCGTCGTTAACGATCGTTAAGTAAACGATGATTTTTGAAAACTACAGTCCTGAGTAGTTTAATAATTATGAAATCCAATAAAACACCAAACCACCCTGCTTCTCATTGAAGTACACTTTGACCCCTAGAAGTATTAGTTTGCGGACTGTACAATTCTTGGTGATTTTGCGTACATAAGCTATCTATGTTTATTTATTTATCTATGGCTAAAATCGATTATTTCGTTTTCATTATTATATTGAATTTCTAATTTTCTCTGAATTTATTCGCAGATTTCTTCAAATTCTTAAAATGTCGTCTTTTAAATAATAATTCTAGAAAATCTGCAAAAACTTTGTGAATAATAAGAAACCAGAATAATGAGATAATAGAATCTAATAATTGAACAGATTACTTATTTTCGATGATAAGATTATTTTTATTTTCTCTACATGTTCCCTATACATGACGTCTGTAGTTTATTTATTGTAAAACTTTTTTACATTTTATGTAAAATATGTTTATAGAGCAAATGCCGTGTTTACTCATAGAGCGAATGTTGAGTAGAGCAATTGGACCATCACAGTCATAAAAATGTTTATAGAGCAAATGACGTCATGTCGAATGTCATAGATCATTTGACGTATAGAGCAGATGCCATATAGAGCAAACGTCGTGATCTATGAGCTATAGAGCAAATGGTTGATAGATCAAATGGACATAGAGCAAATGGAATTAGAGCAGATGTCGTAGCGCCGTATTTGATGGTGTTACAAGATAAATAGTTTTACGAGACACTTTTTGCTATACGGGTCTGTTTACATTGCACAATTGCTGTTTTTCATGGTTATTGAACTTTTTAAAGTTAAAACTTGATTCTCAAAGTCGTCTTAGTATTTCAGAGTTTTCTGGTTATCACTGTATTAAAGATGACAGACAACAGACATGTATCAGACAACAGACACATAACATACAATAGACAACAGACAACATATTAAAAATAACAGACACATAACAGATAACAGACAACAAACAACAGACAACAGAAAGTAGACAACAGACAACAGACAACAGACAACGTACAATGGACAACAGATAAAAGACATTATGCAACAGACAACAGAAAATTAGTAAAATGTAAGAATAAAGAATAATTTTGTACATTATATTTTGTATGTAGTCCCAACTTATTGATTCTGAACATGTGTGAATTATGCATCTTTATCAATTTGCATCAAGTTTTTCTCATTATAAACTTTTCTTTGATTTAAAAACTAAATCATTGGATTTCCTTAGAACATATTTATCTCTAAAATTTATTTTATACGAATGGTCAGTACTCAGTTAATAAAAATCTAGGGGCCTGGCAGATGTAATATTAAAAGAGCCCCCCACCCTCAGAGGGTTACTCGATAATAGGGGCCTTAAAAATAATTATAGAATTTTAAAAACTGAAATCTAGTATTTTTGTTACTCGGTGCGAAAGATTGGAACAAGTAAGACGACATTTCTTGCAGGCTTGTAGTTACTCAGTTATGCTACCCATCCCAGTTTGCTTATGAATTAAATCAAATAAAATCTAGTGCAATAGATGGCAACGAAGAATTTGTACGCTCTCAGTGCAGCTGTATATTGACGTCACAAGTGTCAATTCAGATTTTGTGTCCGACAAACTATTAATAATTTTGTGACATTTTTAGAACAAAGTGCTTATCTTACATTAAAATAAGTGCAATTTTATGTATTCTTTATTTTCTTTTATTGCACTTTTTAATTAATCTTGGAAAACATGTCAACTAATATAAGACAACTATAGATAATATTGATAATAGTGATAATTTTAAAGTAAAGTGCTTATCTCACAGTAAAATAGGTGCAATTTTATGTGCTCTTTATTTTCTGTTTTTACACTTTTTTAATTAATCTTGGAAGTTGGAAAACATGTCAACTAATGGGAGAAAATTTCGTTTTCCTTGCTATATTTGACACAATTGTGACGTCGTGTATAATTGGTCCATATTTCTGTTGCTACCTATTGTATTTGATAATCTATTTAAATTGAATGGACCCCGATTAAATATAAAACTGCAAAATTAAAATAAATAAATAATTTTGGTTTTCTTTTGTTTTTAGGGAAGATTTAAGAAACTGAGTGAAGGAACCCACATTCTCCATCATTTCCGAATACGATCTTTAAAAGAACAAACCTGCTGATTTGTATAATTTTTGACACGATTCTGTGAATCGATATGTATAAAATAAAATGTATGTTACAATTTTCAATATCTGTGAACCAAGTCCCTTTGACTTACATTGCGGGTTTCTTGCAGGCCAAAACTTGTTATTTATGTGCGTAATACATTTAGCACAACATTGAAATACAGGGAGTCCCACAAAACATGACAGTTGGTAAATAGTTTTGAATGTCTTCTTCTATATGCTGTATACGATATTAAAGACTTTTTGCAGTTTATTTAGTTTAAAAAATCTTTACTTAAATTTACTTAGAAATCAATTTTACTATAATAAGGATGTTTATTATTATTCTCTTTGGTAACAAAGAACTTAAATATTATAGAAGAAGACATTTTAAACTATTCACCAACTGTCATGTTTCGTGGGACACCATGTACAAAATTTAAGAAATTATTATGTCGCCAATGGGACTAGGTCTAAATTAAGATTTTCTGGACTAATCAGAAAGTTTAAGAAGAATGAACCATGTAGATAAAAAATTTCTTGCAGTTGCAGTTGGAGCTAATGCAGTAGTTAGAAAACAGTTTAAAATGTATAATTGAGATCATAAAAACCACTCACCGTTTTTACTTTATACACAGAAAATGTAAATGAAAATTTCAGTTTAGTAAATCCTTCTTGAGATTATGATAGTAGTTTTTATTTTAATAACAACAATTTCTTCTGCTTAACTATCTTAAGACAGTTTTTGGTTTCGCAACTTTTTCGCAACATTAAAAAAAATGCGCAAGACTGTTGGGTTGAAAAACCAAAATTTTTAATTATCTGCTTCGGAAATTCAAAACATTGAAAAAAATTCTTTATTTAATTATCTATACTATGACCTCTATTATCTATACTATGACCTCTATTATCTATACTATGACCTCTATTATCTATACTATGACCTCTATTATCTATAATATGACCTCTATTATCTATACTATGACCTCTATTATCTATACTATGACCTCTATTATCTATACTATGACCACTATTATCTATACTATGACCTCTATTATCTATACTATGGCCTCTGTATTAACACTACAAAAAAACATCTAAATAAAGTTATTTTGATTATAAAAATAGTAAACACCGGACTTAAAAAACTATACTTATTCTAAAATATGATAAAAAATTCAATGCAACAACTCATACGACAAATATTCCGAGAGACGGTTTTATAATTTATTTTACTTTATACAAACATTGAGAAAGAAAATACTATACGATCGATATGCAAAATAAATAGCTGTCAACGGTAGAAGGATGATCAGGATATTCCTCCACCTCACATCGAAAGGGTTCGTGTTGAACTGTCTTTTTTCCGGGAACCCTGCTTGGATTTTAACCCTAGCTTTCCCGGCCTATGCCCAGCACAATGCCCTCCGAGATAAGGGACGGCGTTGCTTGGGTTATAAATAAACTCAGCTTGGCTTGTTCCCGAATTTTCAAGTAAACAACAAAATTAACCGTCATTTATGTATATACAACAGGTGTATAGTACCTCTAGATAACTATGATCGCAACGATCTTAAAATCCCTTGAACCGCTGATCGTAAAAGATCAACAAAATCACAACATCATTACATTATGACTAATACCTGTCGTTCCCTATGGAATTTTAAAAAACTGTCCAAACTAAGGTTTCCAGCTAAAAGGGGAAATGGTTTCGTGAAAATTTAGCATTTTTTTCACATTTCGTTCAAAATGTTATCGCTTTGGATGTCAAGAAATCTCCATTTTTATCATATTTTCGTTTATTTTGAAATAAAAATGCGTGAAAATCTTTATTCTTTAATATTTTAATCAATATTTATATATTTATATAATTTTCTAATGCATTTAGTTTCCAGA